GAGAACAACTTTTGGGAAAGCAAGGCTATGTGAAATTCAATGGAAACGTCAACTCAACTCATATCAATGTGGGAAAATTCTACTACCAGTAATAGGGTAAAATAGGGTGAATACATCTCATTACACTGATTTACCGGTAGTCTCGAAACCCTACTTACTCACGAATATGGGAAAATCATGCCTGAGGTAAACATGTGTCTAGGCCCCATTTTAGTATAGCTTCCCTAATAACCAAAGGAATAATTGTGATGGTAACCTGTCGGCACAACTGTTCACATAACTACTCAGCTGGTGTTATTATCGTCAATGCTTGAAACTCTTGACCATCATGATTGCCTTAGGCTTATATAATCAGGACTCGTGGCCGTTTCGTGGTATGGACTTTGAATTCTGAACTGTTTTCACCATTTTATGAAGTCTTTTGGATGCGCTTGCCTGTAAGGATTCTGCACCCGAGTGGAGACGTCTACTCGCATTGACCAGTGATTGTGGATTTCTAATATTTTTCACTGTTTGCGTCTTGTCTACAGGAAATCAGGCCGTTCAGAAAGAATGCTTGTAGAAGGGATGGGTTGAATGACATGGAAACTTGCAAGTCAATTCTTGAGCATGACCGTTTGGTCAATAAAGTCTTTAATGCGGCTTCTCTCTTATTCGGACGGGGGGTGGCCTTGTGGAAGAGACAAGCTGAATTGACCTATCGCGCAAGCGCCCCTTGCATAGCCACCTCGACGCTGCCACACATTAACTCCTGCCTCGTTTTTCTGCCCTCCTCTCAATATGGCCCACTTAAGGCCTGCCAAAATAGCCAGCTTTCGGCGGAATGACAGCATGTATCCCGTATTTTCACGATTTCGCTTTCCTCTTCTCACGAATCTCCACCTCGTCCTTGCTCCCCATTCCTCTCTTCGCCTATACCACTCATTTCTTTGCCTGACTCTTGCTTCTTTCCCATTACTCTCACTAAACCATCCAATCAGCCTACCTTTAAAGATCTTATTGCGCAGTTGCCATAGCGCTGACTGCATCTCTGACAAGAACGCACTTCGTTCTAGTCGACAACATTTCCCCCTCACTCAAGTTCTGTCCTGCTCCGGTAATGCCACCAGTAGGAGCGAGAGTAAAGTTGAGCACTCCATATCTTTCGCCGCCATCTCAGTTAAACGAGCCATGGGACACCATTAATTTTTAGAAGCTTTTTTCTATCCTACAATTTAAGAGCTGCTCCGTCGAATGAATGATATCAGGTCTGACTGTTATCTGAATTAATACACCGAAACCATCTGGCAAAAGCATCATTACGTAAACTAGAGGTTTAATTTACACTTGAGTCGTCCTAGAGCCCTAAGGATGATTTAAGGGATGATGCTTAAATTGTCAACAATTTAATGACCAGACCTCACGGTGAAACTTAGCTTTGTCTTCCAGAACTTCACAACTTTACTGTATAATAAGTGTGTATCTCTTAAACATACCAGTATATCCTGGAGGAGAACTTGAATTACTCGAATTCCCTTAAGGCGATGTAGAGATTCAAGTTGTTATTTAAGATCTATTGATATTTTATAAAGACTCTTTCGATGCTTATTTGTGTTATCCAATAAAATGCGTAATTTAAGAACCGATGCTTCATTTATCAATACTTTAATGAGTAGGTTTCCTGATAACACTTATCCTTGTCTACCAAAGGAATTGACACTGACATGGTATCAACAACACCCCAGCGGGTCTCGAAATTGCGTCGTAACCACAGTCCTATGGCAATGAGTCACAGGGACGATGTGACTTTCATAGCAAGCCAGGCCTCCTTTACTTTACATATTTCCTGGGATTGTCGATGAAAGAAGCTTGAATTTTTTTAATTAGATTTCACAACAATACTATATAGTAAATATGCGTTTCAAATTTATTTTTTATCTTGAACAAGAGGATGAATGATTTTAATTTGTTTAAGGTGATGTGAGGATTCAAATTGTTATCTTAGATCTACTAATTTTTTCCTAACATTTTAATTCTAAACTTATTATTATTGTCAAATTTAACCTCAGTTACAAGTTCTTTTCATCTAAAATCCCACCATAAATGTGGTTTGGGAGAGGTTTGGCTTTCCTTGAAGGTCACATATATGTTGTATATGAGATATATTCGTTCTATTTCGTTTAAGGTGGTGAACGACTGATAGTTGAATTTTTCCATAATCCTAAGAGTAAGACATTCAATTTTACATAGCCTTGCTTCCCAACAGATATTCTCATCCAGTCTGGAGTGGACTGCAGTTTCGACATAGCCTAAACTGGTCTCATCGTCACCCCTAGCGGAACTCGTATAGTGTATAGTATATATGTATATAGTGTGTATAGTGTAGTGTATAATCTCGGAACATAAATGACTACACCACATTAGCTATCATGATCTTGGGTCACAGGACAGATGTGGATTTCAAGGAAGGCCAGGCATTTTTTCATACCACGTTCTGTGGTGGGATTGTCGATGAAGTAAAGTTGTATTTGTTATAGTAATAGACTACATTAATTATTTTTCAACATATTTAATTTTTTGTAACTAGCTGTAGATCACATATATGAGGTATATTCATATTCCAGTTAAGGTGATATATATATATATATATATATATAGGACAACGTGTCGTGATTACACGCTACACTAGCATGGTTGAAGTTTCGCTGGGGTTGCTAATGAAACCAAGGCGAGATTTAAACTGCAGCAAACTCTTGGCTGGGTGGGATGACCTTTTTGGAAAGCAGAGCTATGCGAAATTCAATGAAAACTAAAGGTACATTCAGATGATTGTGGGAAAATTTAATGATCAGTACTTCATCACCTTAAACAAAATAGGGCGAATACATCTCACATAACTGATCGAATGGTGGTCTCTAAAGTCTACTTACAAACGGAAAACATGTGTCCTGTAGCCATATGGTAAACTGGTAACGTGTAGCTATTTGGTTAATACAACTCGTTCTCGAATCCCATGGGTGATGATGATAATAACCCAGTGAAGGTCGAAACTGCAATCTACCCTGAAGGATATCGGCTTTTGGAAGCTAAGGCTACGTGAACTTAAACAGCAATCAAAGACCTACTCATGCCCTTGTGAAAAATTATACCATTAGCCCTTACTTTATTTCAAGCAACTTAGAGTGACTCAAGTTCTTGTGTCAATCAAGCTCACAGCCTATGTATCAAAATGCAATGGCCCTTGGAACCTTTTTTAGATACCTTTCATAATTACTGGAGAATCCCAACATCCTATTTATGACATCTGTTTCTAATTTTTCAATCGCTCCTACAACAATCCCTTCACTTCTCATTTCCAATTATCTTGCTTTGCTATACAAACTTTATACTAGCCTCAAATCTTTTGTCAATATATTTATTTCTATTTGTCTATATATATATATGCATATGTGAACAATCCTCTCATGTTGTGAGAGTTTTTAAATTAAAAAATGTTTCTTATTTGGTCTGGCTCCTAATGACACAAAATTAGTATAAAATCCAATTTTGCCCTTGTATGCATAGCACGTAACTGCATCCACATAGATGGGAGGCCTGACCTTTACCCATGTTCTTTAAATTCATTTTCTTCATATATTTTTATTGCTTTGGTCCTGATACTTCCTTAGTTTAGTCAACACTCTTGTGTTTACATTTTTTTTCGAACTTCCGAGTATGGGTAAGAAATGCTCAGGTTATGAGATGCTTTGGACTCCTTATAGTAGGATCCCTCATTCGCGTAATCAATATGAAAGAAGGCTCTGGTAATTTAGAAGTGCTGCTTGAAAAACTTAAATGATATTAATACATGTTCCGTTTTTTGTCAACATAAGATATTTCACAGTTGCCACAGACTTCAGCTCAATCCGACATAGTTGCAATAAGCACACATTTATTTCTTCGCACGCGCACGCATGATTAAACTGGGAATTGATTATTATATTGCATTCTTATTGTCTTTATATGAATGTTTGGGTAAATTTGATTATACTATTGTTAAATTTCTTTTATATAAATAACTACAGATCTCCTACCAAGTCGATTGTCTTGTTTGCATTCCAGGAGGGAATGTAGCGGAAATCATAACCTTTAATGACGGACCTCTGTTAAGTATGGCCTAAATATTGACATTTTATTTTTTATTTTACTTAAGATTTATCCAAATATGCTCTGAATGTATGATTTGCAGTGGGCACAAGCCAAAAACTTAATTGCATACTTATGGGATCCTCATGTAAACTAACTGTTATGAGACAAATATGCAGACTCACTATTTAGGATTTTTACGATTTAGATGGGAATCATTTTTGGTCGACAGTTTCTGCCCAGTCTAAGAAGCCTGTCCTTGATTTATCGGATAGAGGGGCACGGCAGCTAAATGTCAATTCCTATCTAAATTCATTGAGCCATCACTCAGCATTACTATCTATAACCCAAGTAATCGTCTTGCAAAGTGGCTTAATAAACTTATTTTACCATAACCTGTAGTTATGATGGCCAAGATGGAGTGGTCATAGTCTCCTTACGATTTATAGAAGTGGGTTGACCTC